TTTTTGATAAGAACCAGGTGTTTACCTCAAGAGCTGGTCTACACCGACCCTGCGGTTTGGGCAAGAGCCAAGGAGCAACTGAGTTTGCGCGAGAACAAGGGTTTACTAGCGGTGAGGAAGAGGAGCCATCAGCCTTCATCCCCACGACCCCCGACGACCCCCACCAGGAGGCACTGAGCAGGCGCAGTGGGGAGGGACTTATGGAAATGACCTCCTGAAGCTAATTTTAATACAAAGTGGAGACAGGCTATGCATATGTATAGGCATATCGGGAAACTTATGCATATGTAACACTTTGCTACATATAAACGGGCAAGTTGCCGCTTGATGCATGCACGCTAGGTGGAGCGATCCCCCGTGCATCCGGCGCCGTGAATAAAGAAGGCCTGCCTTCTAACACTGCATTGGTGTTACGAGGTTCATTCTTCCCGATTTCGGTGACAGTCCCTCTGGGCCAGCCACCTCCACCCCAGGCCAGGATGGGCCACTGCAATGGCTACCTGGTCCTGGTGGCACCAGGGCTGCTCTGGCCCCCCATGGGGGTCTGGTGGCCCTGCTGGTGGCCCTGGCAGCAGCCCCCCAGGCCCATGCCCAGGGGCTGATGGGTTCTCACCAGCCAGGGACACCATGGTGGTCTCTTGTCCTCTTGGTTGCACCAGGGCTCCTGGCCAGGGCCCTGGGTCACCCCAGCTGGGTGCTTGCGTGGCCGCAGGGAGGCAGGGAACCTGAGGGAGAAGGATGGGGAGTAGGTTGGGTCAACTCGCCTCAAGGGTTTCTCAACGAAATTCCCATCCCCGCTTAGGAGCTGTCACGGTGACTTTTCTGACCGGTGCTCCCTATGCTTCCATTGCCATGGCATGGAAGAGCTCATCAACCTTAAACCAGACATTGGGTGGCGATGGCTTGTCCCCTCCCACTGTGGTGGCGGGTGCCGAGCTCTCTGCTGTCCCCAGCCAGATTCTTTACTCTGGGGGTGGCGAGACACTGGCACAGGTTGCCCAGAGAAGCTGCGGATGCCCTATCCCTGGAAGTGTTTGAGGTCAGGCTGGACGAAGCTCTGAGCAACCTGGTCTAGTGGATGATGTCCCTGCACACGACGGGGGGGTTGGACTGGATGATCTTCAAAAGCCCCTTCCAACCCAAACCATTGGGAGGACACAAGTTGCTCTTGGGGAGATTCCGACTGGATGTGAGAGGGAAATTTGTCCCCATGAGAACAGTCACCCATTGGGATAATCTCCCCAGGGGATGTGGGAGACTGAATAGCCAGCTAACTGCCTCAAAGCTTGCTCCTTTGTGTGGCGATGTGCAGTTTGCTGCCCCTTAAAGCATGCAGCAGAACCCTGCCCCTGCCCAGCAACAAGAAAGCGTGCAAATGGAGCCCGCCAAAAGGAAAGCGTGTGAGATGTGTGCGCAGGTGCTGGCAAAAAAGGCGGCAGGCGCAGGCTGCGGGGGGGCCTCGTGGAACACCATCAAAGACGCCAGAGGAAGATCACCGACCTCGTGAAGAGACCACCGAAGATTCCGTGTGCGATCACTGAAAACCCCAGAAGCACAGACCCCCGGGACGCCGCGGATCCACGGTGGTGACTGCCTGCTCTCTTCTATCCGGACCTCTCGCTTGATTTCTTATCTTTCCTTCCTTCCTCTCCTGTCGCTGCTTTCTCTCTTTCCCCCAAACAATTAATAAACGGGTGGACTTATGACATCTGACATCGTTTGTGTCTTAATCTCGCTCAAAGGGATCGAACCTGAAACGAGAGGTTGGTCCAGCCACCCCTGGCCTCCCAGACTCACCTGAGGTCGGCTAGAAAGCAAGGGGGCCTTCCTCTCATCCAAACAGAATTGGATCGTAACATTTCGAAATTGGCGTCACGGACAGGATCCCTCGAAGTGCGAGTGTCGTATTGCCCACTCGTTCCTGTTTCACCTTGTACATGTGAACCTCCCAGGGACGCTAGGGGTGGAACTCTGATACTGATGTGCTGCCTCCCCGAGGTGCCCACCCCACACTTACTGTAAAACTGATGAGTCTTAACTGAGTGCTTAGAACTTATGTGCTGCC